CCTTAGACTTCCGCAATGAAGAATAGTCAAAGAAGTAAGGGAATGCAATCTTCTGATATCTTCTGCAATAGAAATTAGATTGGGGCAGTTCCAAATATCCAACCTCTGAAGAGAAATGCAAGATCCCAGCCCACACGGCAGACTAATTAGTTTTTCACAACTACAAATTGATAATGTTTTAAGAGAGAGCAGGTCATCCATGTTTGGGAGAGTCACCAGATTCGGACACAAGCTTATCCGTAGCTCAGAGAGCTTGTGGTGAGTTGAAAATTCATTGATCGACCAAGTCCTCAACATAGGACATCTCCAAATTTGCAACCTCTCTAGGCAAGGAAACACAACCACACCTTCTATTTCTACCCACTCCTCTAGGCTTTGCATGTCATTTACAGTGAGTACTTTCAAAGCAGGGAAGAATGTGATTGGCTTTCCCCCACCATACCTACTACTCGCCATGTTGCTTCTGTTAAGACAAAACTTGCTACCCATATGCTCTACCTTTGCCATTGAAATATGAAGAATCTCGAGACTTGGTAACAATGCCAAACACAAAATGTCTGTGCATTCATCACAATTATTTATTGTCAAATTCAACAAATTTCTGAGTGGAAATGAATCACCAGATAAATTGACACCCTTCTGCATCCATAGGGGAAGTCTTTTTCCATTATAACCAAAAATTGTTAACCTTTTCAAATTCGAGTGAGGCTGAAGACCTTCTAGAACCTCCTCATCAATATTGTTGTTGCCGCCTATTTTAGTTCTATCCCATCTGAATTCCAACTCGCACACTTTTATCTTCTCTTCCAACTTTGCTCTAGTTGCTTCTGCTCTAGATTTCACGGACTCAAGGCCGCTAATTTCCAATTTCCCTCCAAGTTGGCTTAATGGTCCAAGTTCAACAATTGTACATCCCTTTTCCTCGCCTACAAAGAATTTTGATAGGGTTTGAAGGGATGTTAAATTCCCAATCTCCCTGGTTGGATTACAACTGAGACCATCAAAACAAATATGTCTTAAGTTGATTAGATTTCTCATATCAAGAGGCACCTGCAGAAAAAATAAATTCATAAATCTAAAAGTCTGCAAATTGTAGAGCTTGAAAATGGATTTTGGTAGTGCTTCAATCTCTTGGCTTTCTGAGATGTCAAGGTATCTCAAATGCTTCTGGCTGCTAAAAGCATCTGGCAACTGTTCCCCCTTAGCTCCAACTATTTTTAAAGCTCGCAGGCTTTTGAGATCAGAAGCATTAGAATTGAGAACATCAACCTCTTCCAAGAACAAAGAATGCAACCTTTGAGCAACTCCTCTTGGAATGATTAGACACTCGTTTCTGTGATGCTTAACTCTCAAATGTCGAATTTTAGCATTTTGGTCAATTTTGCAACTGGTCTCCCACACAAAAGTATCACCTTTTGAAACGGACAATGCCAAATCATGCACTACATCGTGCATCTTGCAAGATATGATATTCTCATATTCATCTTTTTCCACATCTTGAAATAAGGAGTTAGATAATAAATCACAAAAGCACTCATTACCAACATCCTCCATTGTCATTAAGCTCTCATTAGGTTGGTGCAGAAATCCCTGAGCCATCCAAAGTTGAATTAAATCATCTTTTTCAATGACAAAATCCTTTGGAAATATTGAACAATAAGAAAAACATCGTTTCAAATGTGAAGGCAAACGATCAAAACTTATTTTTAGCACAGATAAAATCTTATTTCTATCATGGGGATCTAAATTCCATGCATTATTATTTCTGATAGCCAACCACTTATCCGTATCAATTTGACGGCTCAATGTTCCTCCGATTACAGCTGCAACTAGCGGCAAGCCCTCACACTGTTTGGCAATTTCTTGTCCAATAGCTTTCAATTCCAAAGAAATTGAAGTTTCTATAGATGATCTGAGAACTGTCTCCTCAATTATCGACCAACATTCCCCATCTGATAGCTTCTGCATTTCATAGTTTTGCATAGGAAGTATCTCCATAACAGATGCTACTTGTAAACTACGAGTTGTCACAACAATAGAATTCCCAGTCGTCTTCAAAATTTTGGAGAGACGAGAGCTGAAATCATCCCACTTGGACTGATCTTCATTCCACACATCATCAAGAATTAGAAGAAAAGTCTTGTTGTCTAGTTCTTTGGCAAGATCTTGAAGCAGTACATTGATATTGTTCCTTGAAGTACCACCATCCTTAAAGTGTTCCAACATCTCCCCCAAGATTGCTTGGCCATTGAAGTCCTCAGAGACACACACCCACGCTACAAGATCATAAAGTTTTTCTTCCTTTGCCTTCTTGTATATTGATCTTGCCATTGTTGTCTTCCCAAGGCCCGCCATGCCAACTATAGAAATGCCAGAGATGGGATGGTCCCTCTTTAAGTTGTCCAACAGGCTAAGAATTGCCAAGACATCACCATCCCTTCCAAAAACTTTTGAATTATCAAGAAAGGAGTCTGTGTTGGGATATTGCCTAGCAGTTGGATGGCACTGGTATCTTGATGCTAGATTAAGTGGACCTGCACGCTCTTTTAATTCATCAAAGCGCACATTAATCTCCTTAATTTTTTCACCAATACAAGAACCGAAGGTAAAAGAGGTGAGTGCCATCATTTTCCGCTTTATGCCTCCAGTTTGAACTTTGTCATGATGACGATCATAATCATACTCCTCAAGTACATCCACCGCATCATAAGCTAGATCTTTGAGTTCTTCTAACCAGCGCCTTATAAACCCATTACTTTCTTGTTTTGCCTCGGCATCTTCGACCACAGACTGGATGAATTCAAGTAAATGTTTAAGTCTCATCACCTCATCCTCGAAACCTCGTGCTTTCTGGAGCAAACCAGCAACAAATGAAATCAACCTGGAACGTGCTTCCTCTAGAACAGGGCCAAGGAAGGTGAGGGCAATTTCAGCCATTTTGCTTGAACGCAGATAAAGATTCTAAACACACAACTGAATTCTGAGAAAGAGAAAAGCCGAGTAGTGTTGTAAGAGAGAGATTCAAACATATACGATTACCGACTGAATGGGTGGCCGCAACAAGTAAAACATAAGCAGTTAAGACTATTTTTACACTTCAAACTACAAAGTTTAAATGTCAATTTTGACCTCTTAATTTTAAATTTTATATAATTTTTATTTTTTAATATATTTTTTACCCTTTAATTATAAAAAAATATATTTTTATTTGATAATAAATTATATAATAATAAATAACTTTATCTTATTAAATTCTTTCTCACTCACTAACTACAAAGATTCCTTTAAAGAATGTTAGGAACACTAATGTCTAATGTAAACCACTTCCTATAAATTAGTGCAATTACCGACAGTAGTCTACACTTTATTCAACAGTGAAATGTGTTATATATATCTTTTTTAACAATCAAAAAATAAAAAATATAATATAGTTTATGGTTTTATTTAACTATTGATAAAAGAGTTAAAATTTTAATAATAAAAATCTATCCCTTCATTAATGATAAAAAAATAATCCAATTTAGATTATATTACAACATTCTTATTGAAGAATACAGGACTGATAATCACTTTTCTTGATTTTAGTTTTAGCTTTTCAAGTAAAAGGGATAGAAGTAATTAAGGACTTTGCATTCAATATTCCATAATCAATCATTTTAAAATTCAATTCGCAAATGATACTGAATAAAAAGGGGGAAAAAAAAAACCGTGAAACGTGACATATGGGTAGTGATCTGATTAAGGTCTTAATCAAATTAATTAGCAAATCAAAATGAAGCTAAACTTAAATCAATCAAGCACTTACTTTGAAAACCCAATCTTTTTTTTTTTTCTCTTGATCTTTCCTGGAAGCCAACAGATTAATTATTAATAAGGAAACGTAGGGTTGAGGAGGCGGCCACGTGGAAGTGAGTGTCGTATGATATCGAACGTCCAGTGTCCACCCCACAAGATGGGTGGTTGGTGGGACTATTATTATTAAGCCAACAAAGACATTCCACGGTTCTTTGATTTGATTAGAAATGATGTTGGAGTTGAAAATTACATGTAATGTTTGTAAATGTTGGGGAGGTTTGATAAGGACGGGTGATTCAATGGGGTTAAACTTCAAATTCAAATTTATGATTTCAAGACAAAAGCGACAACATGGTATTAGAAAATAATAATTGTGGATTAATCATGGTCCTTCGATATA